TTGATGGCTGACAATATGCCCTCCAAAATACTATTCAATTCCATTTCATTGTATGTGCCTCAGTGTAACATTTTATTTTTTAAAGAATATTATTATTTTTATTATTTTAAATTTTTTTTTGTAAAACATCACTGTCACAAATGCTGTTGGTTGAGCTTAACTTTTGAACAGAATACTCCTGTAAGCTGTTTATTACTTGCACAAAATTCTAAATTTTGTTGCAATTGTCACATATGTTGTGGTTTTAAGAAGATGCATGAAGCAAATACAGATATTCTAATAAACACTAGGAATCTTCACAGAGACTATACACCACGTAGCACAAAGACAAAACAGAACAGGGACTATATATACACAGGGATAACAAGGGAACTTGATGATAAACAAGTGAACATAATAAGTAACTAAAGAGACTAATTTAGTTACTACTTTAAAGTTTACTACTTTAATGTAACACTATGGGATTCTCCCTTTTTATTGTCAATCAAGCACAAATTCTAAATCTAAGCACTAAACACTAAGACTAAAATGAAAGAGTAAGTATGAAGTAAGACACAAAAACACAACTAAACAAGACATAATCCTGACACTACACCCATTCTCTCACAAGGCACATCTTCACACCGTTAACAGTCCAACGGTGGATGGTGGGAGGGGGCTTTGGAGGCAGACAGAAGTGAGACATCAGACGAAGACGTAAGGTAGATGAAGGACCAGGAACAGGAGGAGCCAGGAAAGGGGAACACTATGTCGATTTGTGCTACCCTGTCAGATATTGCTACCTCCCATTAAATCAGTAGATAGTACAATTCGACAACTAAACATGCTACCTGTCAAATTATGGTTTATTAACATCTACACCTATCCCAACCCTAAACCTAGCCTTACAGTAATGCAAATACAGTAATTATGTATTTAATATTCATCATGTTTACTTGTCCATTTGAACGCCTTTTTGATTCAACAGTTCCCTGAGGTTTGCAGTTTTTGCGGAGAGGTTTGGAATGAATTTACAAATAAAATGCAATTAAATAATATAAAATAAAATAAATAAATACTGTGCACCAGCCATCTCATTTGTGATCTCTTCACGCTTTTGAATCTGGTAATGTTCTCTTTTTTATGCCTACATTTATCCATGCATACTTTCATATCACCAGATTGATTTTTTTATTATTATTTTTTTGTTTTTGACAGACCATTGACATTAAGTGTATCCAGTCTGCAGGTTTAGATTAGATTAGATTCGACTTGTCATTGTGCCGAGTACAGAAGTGCAAATGTTTAAATGTATACCTGTATGAACCTGTATGAATTTTATGTTTATTTTGACATTCATAACCAGAGTGTGATAGCCCCTCCTCCTTCACTATGTAATTAAAGCTGTGACAGTTCAACATTTTATTTTATTTGTATTTTATTTATTTATTTTTGGTTAATTAAGTGCATTATCTGGGTATTTAAAGAACGCTTTTTCTTTTTGAAATTTTTAGTGTGAGCACACTACTTGCACTATTTATAATAAAAATTGCACAGATTAGTGCATAAGTACATGAACTAGGATGCACTATTTAACTTTTTTTTTATGTATTTAATATTCACGGTTTTGGCTAAAAGGGATACAGCTACGACAGGAAACCAACAATAAATACATTTTTGAATGAATGCATGAATGAATGATATATTGTGTAATACTATATAGTGCTTTATTGTGTTTTGCTGTACACCCAAATCGCTTTACAATCATGTGGGGGGGGTCTCTCCTCAACCACCACCAGTGTGCAGCATCTAACTTTTTTTATTTATTATTTTGACCACTAGATCCACTCACTTCAAAAAGCAGACACTCCAAAAACGGTAATTTAAGGGACATAAAGGCAAATAAGTAATTATCATCTGTGGACATGAAATGTACCCTAAATTACAGAATGACCCAAAGCAGGCTAACAAAACAACAACATGCCAGCAACACGTTAACAATGCTAAGCATTCAAAGTGGTTTTTAAAGGTCTATTGGCACCAAAATAGTCTAATATAGTCTGACTTTTAAAGTGTATTTTACATTTCCAGACAAGACTTTGTCAATCCAACAGCAAATACATGAGAGTAAATAAAATTAATAAACATCTCTTTTATTATTTGGCCAGACTGCTAAATGTTCACATAAAATTTATTACAAAATAACAATTTTTCCCCTAAGATGATAACTGGGCTGAACATCGTGTGACAATTTAGCACACTGTTATTTGCAACAATTATTGTTGCATTAAATGATCCCTTTCACATACTATTTGTAAAGAATCTCACTTAAATAGCGAGCTAGTATTCTATTCCTAACACAGCCAAAGACATGCTATATTTCTCCCTCAGGATGCTATGTTGTTGGATATAAAAGATGTGGACGAGTGAATGTCTCGATGATGGTGCATGGGCCCCATTAATTGTGCCACTGGCTCCAGGCTGAGAGATCTGGGGCAAGCACCTGCTGCAGAAGTGGGTAAGAATGACAGACACAGGAGCTGATGGAGGGAGGAGCCAAGGCAGAGTCCTGATGGCTCTCCTGGACAATGCCTTGGGGCCTGTCGATGGAGGGGAGACCTCAGTGAAGCCGGGACAACATCGCAGGCCTGGAAGGCAATGTCAATGACTCAAGGGCCGAGGCGACGACGGGGAACTGGCAGAACAAGGCGATGCCGGAGGGAGTGAGGACCAAAGCGGAACTGGAGAGAAGAAGGATCCCACTGGAGCCGAAGTGGAGGACGGCTGAGGTGTGGGCGGAGGGTGACGAAGGTCCAAGGTTTAGCCAAAGGGGTGAGGGAACTCGTGGAGCCTGAGTGATGAAAGACCATGGCAGAGCAGAGAGAGTGCAGAGCCAAGGTGGAGCCGACAGGCTGACAGGCCGAGGTGGAGGAACAAGGGTTCCAGAAGAGCTCTTTCAGGGTCTCATCATCCTAGTGTGCCTCACTGTAAAGTTGTAGATAGCCCTCCACATATTCCTCCAGTAACCGGCCATTCTGGAGAAAGCACTCTTCTTCATCAATTGTGGATAGTTCTTCTGTCACATATATTGTGGATTCAAGGAGATGCTTGATGCAAAATGATAAGCAGGTGAAGGAAGGAACTAAGGAGACTTGTATGGACACACTAAGATTAAAATGAAAGAGTAATAATGAAACCAAGAAATACGAACAAAAATGCAACTAAACAAGACATAATCATGACAGTCATACTGCATCCATATTCTTCCTCTATATCACACATCCAAAGATATAAATAGTGTGTTTCAAATGTTTTAAATGATCATTTCATGTTTTTACAATTTAACAATTCTTCAGTTTACAATCCAATGTTCTATTGATTGTATTTGCTTGTTTTAAAATAATAAACAAAGTGCATATAAAATAATGTAAATTTAATGGTGCATTAAAGCATTATGAGAACTAACAGGTATTTGCTCCATTCACTCCATAAATTATTGAACATATGTTAAGTATTGGAGAGAAGGCATCTTGAAGGCATCTGATGACCAAATTAAAAGAAATTTAAAAACAAAAAAAAATCAAGTATGCCCAGAGCGGTTTGTGTTCACAACACACATTTAGAGCAAACCATACAATATCTGAAAGTGAACTATACTCAGACCACCTCCCAACCACCTTAAAGCAAACTTCGGCTTTGTTCACTTTAAAGGGGGTAAGGTAAGGTAGGTTCACATACACACCAAAAAATCCAGCGAACCGTGCTCAGCCCCCTGAAAAGGACCAAGTGTGAAAAACACAAACAGCTCATAGTCCAGAGAGAGAAATGCTCACTCTCCAAAGCCTCAAGCTCAACATTGGATCCCCAGGACCCTGACACACGTGGTGCCTCAGCAACCACAGAACCCGAGCGACTGGGGACAGATGATCTTCCTTCTTTTTTTCGAAAAAAAGTGTCATCATCAGCCAATAAATGAACTGCTGTGATTCTATACATGCTTCAGACAATTGTCACACCTGGAGGGGGCTCCCATAGCATCAGTTACTGACGCAGCATCAAGTGAACCTACGAAAGAAAAACAGTAGCGCAGCCAGTAGCATCATGAGCTGAGGCACCGGCTGACTGTGACATTCTCTTGTTATGCAGTAGAGGGTTTTATGTGAAGAACAGGCAGGTGTGGGCTGGCGGGGTTCGAGGGGAGTCACTGAGCGCACTGTTTACACTGGCCCTCTTTGGTAGTTAACTCCACTGTCTAATATTCTGGCATCCCAAACATTCTGCAACATTTAAAAAAAACACCATCACACAGGCGGACAGAAATGGCTGGAATTCTGAAAGAGAAAGGCTCTATAATCCTGTTCATCATGCACATGAATCACCAAACACATTTTTTTTCAGTCAAATGAACTCACAAACTCTGATACTTAATCAGACAAAGCCTGCTTTTAGAGAGAAATGTCTATCAACTCATATCTCAAGGCTGATAAACCCAACTCATAAAGTAGATAAAATGGCAAGTCTGTTAGCACTCCATACTTTTGTTAAAGCGTAAGTCATCCCTGCTCAGTGAATCACATGTGCTAGTGTGAAATAACAAGACGGGATTCTGAAGGTGGACAGTGTTTTTTCAGTGTGCAGCTTTTAGTTACATTAGAATTTGTGAACTCTGTATGTGTTGTATTAAAAAAAATAAAAATGTAAGCACAACAAATACTATTTTAAGCATAATCATTATTATTGTTATTTATATAGTGTTATTTACCACAACTATGCAACTGTAGACATGCTCTTATATTGATTATTATGATTAAATATTCATAATTGTTATTTTTAGTAACAGTGGTAGTAATATTAATGGAAGCAATCAAAACTTCTTGAGCATTCGATGATATAAAGACTTTATATTAGATGTGGTGCATTGCTGTGGCTGTCAAGTCATATTATCTCATTTAAATGTAAGCAGAGCTCTAGTCGTGGGGTTTATGCCAATGCGGTGAAAATGCATTCCAGCGTGTACTCACCATCCATCGCACCAGACGCGGACAGTACGCCTCCTCTTCTCCGGACTGCAGGCTGCGGCGGCCGGAGCGCTGCTCACATGATGCCCGTTCTTCATCATTTTATACAGCCCTATTTACAAGCACTTCAGCACAAAGCAAAGTCAAATCTCTGATATTCACTGGTATTCAGTGCGTGTTACAGGACTGGGAAACCTTTGTCCTTTTCCAGGATAGCCGGCTTCTGCATTAAACGAAGGTGACGTTCTTATGTGGGACAACGCCTCCTCTGTCCGCCAGCAAAATTACGAATCATACTACTGTGAAGGCTTGCTCATGAATATTAGTGATGTAAGATGACGTTTGGTCCGTGGTATTAATTCATTTGCTGAGAGGCTAAGGGGTGTTAGGGAATGAACGAATCGTACTAGTCATAGCGTGGCTCAGTAAAGGTTACGCCTCACGAAGGTTTTCAAGCAACGTCAGCACGATGCTTTTGGGAAACGCAGCCCAAGTTAACATTAATAGCCCGCACCTTTGCCATAGTAGGATCTGTAAATTCGTTTCCTGTGGAGTGGCGTCATATGGTACGGACTCGTACGATGAGCGGTGACAGGCAGCGGACATTACTGTTACATAATCGCAGCTCTCATGTCATGTGACAAGTGTTGATAAGTGTTGATAACGTGTAACAAATAAATGCATGGAACCAGGCTAGCTATGATGCACTGACGATATACATTTATAGAATTAGTTTACAAAGAAATCAGTGAAATATAGATTATTATATGTTCAGTTAACTTTTATATATCCCAGATAATGCTAAAAATAATTTCTGAAATTGCCAGTCACGATCTATTATAGTCTATTGGTCTCCTTTTAAAATGGAGAGGCAATTTTATTTGTCTCTTTTGAGATCATGTAATATTTCTATATACACATATTTAGTGTTGAAATGTGAATAATAAAACACTTATGGGCTAAACTGCAGGCATCTATGTAATCATACAGACAGCACATTTTCTTACACCCACAGCCCAAAAAAGATATATTTAATTTTAAGAATTATTCAATTTCAGTATTACAATTTAAATATTATTTTAATAATTATTATAAGTATTACAATTATTTTTGCAGGCACAAGAAAAATGCAACAATCAATATCTGCTTGTTTTTGCATATCAAAAGCGGTTTTGTGTTATCAAGGTACAATACACAGAAGCTGCGTACCTTTTTAAGTTGATAATTTATTTATTAAAGTGTAAACCTAGTTCCAGTTCTACAAAACATGGCACATTAGAGTTTAGACACAAAAGTTCACACAAATGCACAGTTTTAATAGCTAAAAGGACACATATATTTACTGTAGAAATACATACAAATAGAAAAAAAGCCCTTAAGATAAACATTTCTGTACATCAGTGTGTGCTGCTGTAACCTGTTTCATAAAAACCTATCAGTGAAGATTCATGAACTTTGCAGTGAAAACCACATTATAGTTAAAAAATATAAATTTCAGATGTATCACCTAATTGTCCACATGTGTGTGGACACCAATTATTATATATTTTTGTTGTTGTTGTTATCATCTCAATTTGTTTTATTAATTATTGTTTATATTTACTTAATACAAATAAGTTGATCAGTGAAAACACAACAACAACAACAACAATTATGATGATGACGTTGATGATATTGATGGCTGAAAAACACAGCAAAAAAAGTTGGGACAAGAGGCATGTTTACAACTAAGTTACATCACCTTTCCTTGTAATTAGACTTTTTAATAGTTTCTGAACTGAGACTACTTGCTGCAGTTTTACAAGTGGAATTTTTGCCCAGTCTTGCTTGAAACACAAGACTTCACCTGCTCAACAGTCCTTGGTCATCGTGAAGAACTTGATGTCTGTTTTCCTCAAAACAAGCACATAAACAGAATGACACTTTCACTATAATAATGACAGAATTTAAAGTAATTATTTGGATGGACTACAACTCTTTATCAGCAAAGTCAAATTTATAAAAAGATTTTAGCGCCCCTCTGGAGATTTATGATGCAGCAGAACCTATGTGCTTCTTATCCAGCAGATGGCGCTCCATTACTGCACCAGGAGAGCATATGTCCACCATTTCTTCCTTTCCAAAAAATAAATATATATGTTTTTCTGAAAACCTAACTACTTATTTGAGTTTCTATGCTAAAGACCATAAGAACAGGTCCATAAGAAAGTTAAACAGTGGACATTTCACCCCAAATGAACAGCAAGAATAGAAAAGAGAATACTGGCATGCAGATGAATTATGGACACAGAATGCGTTTAAAAATAAAACGCTACTATTATTCTACTATTATCACTATAGCTGTAGTAGGCTATGTGTGTATGCTATGTAATGTGTATGCCAATTTCAGTATTTTAAGTCGTCTTCTTCTTCTAAGACCAACATTTCTAAAAAAATTAATGCAGCCTATAGCATTCAAGCTATGACCATTAAACGGGTCTGTAGTGTTTGTTTCATAAGCACACAACGTAAAGCATGCAGCAACTTTTATTTTTTAAGCCATTAACCTTCATGTGTGCTTTAGTGACTCTGTTCACCTCTGATCCCCTTAGGTAGCCTACCTGCTACTTCATAAAAGCAATAACAACTGCACTACATCTCCTTTCCTTTAAAAACATAAACTAAACAACGGTGCTTTGGCAACCATAAAAAAAAAAAAAAACCGCAACACAAAAATAATCAGTTTGTTACAAAACATAGAAATTTAAAAACAATACATTTGAAAAAAAAAACTTTTCAAATGCCTTTAAGCACAGGAATTTATAAATTAAGTCAGGTTTCCTTAGGGTGCACGATGATCTTCTTGGTATATGCGTTGTCTTTACAGAATGAACATGTCCGGTGAAATGGAAGAAGAAGAAGAAGACTGCATGCTCAGATGCACTGGTCTTCAGGTTAGACTTGAACCTTCACTTGTTTGATCATTCAGGGTTTTGCTTATTTGCTGTCTTGAGACTTTTGCTATTTCTCCTGAAAACCTTTCTGTTCTGTCAAGGTATGATCTTGGACTTCTTCCAAGACAACAGCCTTCTTGTCCCAGCAGTTTCAATCTCCAAATCTCACAGTGTCATTCTATGATAACGGTTTCACCCTTTTGGTTTGCTTGTCATAAGTTGTCTTTCTGTTTCTGCCTTATTGTTGTGCTTTTTATCATACCTTGTTTTATGTCAATTCTGTAAGGAAGTGTTAAGTCTTACAACTCATTAAGAGCTCTGCAGGAAATGTTTCAGAGGTGTTGCTCGATAACACAGAAGAGCTAGATATGGATCTGATTTGCCTTCTGGAGTAACTTCTTTACAATCTGCACTCCTTTTTCAGAGCATGATGGGGACTTGAAGTCACATGTCAAATATGGATTTCATGTACATGTGCATGAGGAGTTGGACAGCAGGGCTATTTCTGGAAAAGTAATAAACAACCACTACCAACAGGTATTATTTTCCATGGACATGAAACAGATCAGTACCCACTTTCTGCCATGAATACTAAGGTCTGTAGTGATCTTGCCTACAATCGTTTTGATGTTTCAGAAAATCTTCACATGTGTTGATGTAGTCATGAAATCTCTCAAATCCAAAAGCCAAGCCATTCTTTTTGATCAGAGAATATCTGCACTCAGATTTTGTCCTTTCCTGGAGGTATAGGCTGTAAGTTACCATCCATTAGCATTTGCTTGGAGTAAAACTGGGCCTAACTTATTGTAACAAATCAAAGGAGATTTTGATGTTCTTGGTTGAATCAAGGAAGGGTAAGGACTGGTTCTGTTGTCAATGTTTACTTGAGCATTTCTATTCTTGCTCATTGTTACGTCCCAGTGGTTGTGCCTCCGTGTTTTTGCTTTCTACTCACCTCTCCCCTCCATGTGCTAAATTACTCACATCCTGGGGGCAGTCTGGGCTTTCCTCTGGAGGGGAACATATCTCTGGGGAGCTTTTGATGTCCCACGGACTGGTCAACCACTAGATAATAGATATTTTACAATAATTACAATTATATTAGCTACAATAATTGCCAATTTAATGAAGAGACCACCATTTCAGTGGTCTTTCAATGATTAATTTTTAGGCTACTCTATTGATAAATCACAAGATTCCCCTTGATATCTATTACAGTAATGATATCTATTACAGTAATGGTATGGTAATATCAGTTTTAGTTATTTTGAATATAAAAATAATCAAATTACAAAAAAAATAAAAAATACATTTTAAGTGTTATGTAGCTGCTTTGACATGCATGTAATCAAACCATATTAATTTGGACAATTGCATGAGCCTATTTTATTGCAATTTCGTTTTTAGGCCCACTGTTTAAAAGCTGAGAGAAAAGTGTTGATAAAAGAAACGTTTAGGCCAGCGAACACTTCTAAACAGAGGAAAAAATGGCCTTGTATGCTACAGACCCAAATTTAGGGCAGGCACACCTCAACATCGCTCATGACTCCAGTGTTTTACTCACGTCAGGCCAAAAATATGTTCTCAGAGGTTGCTTGAACTAGGTCGACTGACATCTTTTTTTGGATCACAGAGAGAGAAATTGTGCCATCTAAATGATAGCAGTCTCCTAAAACCAAAATGAACAGCAATAAGCCTTCCCCACTGGTTTATTTTTACATGAATCGAACTGGGGTCAATAACGATGCCATGGAACATAACCAAAAATATATAAAATTATATAATCATCAGATCTCTCAAACTGGGTAACAAATTTCTCAAATGGCAATTTGAGAGAAACTATGATTATATTGTATATATTTTTAAAAAAAAAGTATTTGAGTCCCTCAAGTTCTGGATCTTTCTCAAAACATTTTTATTAGTCATATACAAAATAAAAGAAGTTGTAATTCAACAAACATATGTACAACAGTAAATCAATAACTTAGCCACATCTGAAAAATGGTTAACTGCATGGTTCAAATCCACAGTCATTAAATATGAATACAGTGTTGTATCTAGATTGCAAAAAAGTACAACAATTTAATCAATAAATAGTTACAATTCACCCATTTTGTTACGGTGTTTCATACAAAGCACTGCAATATATCTTATAACAACCCATTGATAAAAAATAACCAAAACATATTCTATCAATGTTCACCAATCATAAACTCACATTTCATGTCTTTATTTTATTCACCCACAAATCTGAGACAAAGAACTACTCTTAGTGCCAAATATAAAACCCTTTACAGTCACTTGCTCAGCAAACAAAGAAAGTGATGAATTATTAGCCTAAAGCTTGATAACACTGCCATTAATGTGCTGACTGAAAAAAAACTGGCTTTTTGATAGGATTCATTAATGATTCAAGACCCATAAAAACAATGACAATGCCTGTTGCATAGCCTACCATTAAATGAATATAGTCACAATACAGTTAATTTAGCAATGACAATAGCTCTGTCCCAAAACTTAGTGAGCTACATAGGCATGTTAACTGAAATGGAACTGAAATGACATACAGTGACACAGATAGTGCTTCTCACAGTAAGTGTACAAGAGTCTGTAGTTACAACTGATTCTGACATAAGAATGTTGCCAAGCATCCACATTTTTTAATTAATTGAATTATGTTTATCTATACTTTCTTTTCTTTTACTTCATACAAAAGTATGAAGTATGTCTTGAATTTTTTGAAAGATCATTTTGGGATTGGATATACTGCATGCAACAAAGGCTTAGAATTTGGCCAAAACAGGTTTTCTTAGAAAGCAGATTGCTGGAACAGCCTTCGAGTCAGGAATGTGCCTATGATGCACTAGGATGCTAACTAGAGTTGGAACAGAGCTAATAAACACACATTTAGTTTTGCAGTGGTGACTGTATCTCACTGAAATATCTTTCTACTCAGTTTATATTTTAGCACTATTGTAAAAGGACTGCTACCACAAACATCATTGGTCAAGAATATCAATAATTTATGTGTACATAAGGGTACAGTGTGGCACTTATCCAAGAACTACATTAAACACCACAGAGAAGTGCTGTGCGAAACAAGTATGATGAAAATCTCCAAAAAGCTGCTTTTCAAAACTAGAAAAGAAGATGGGTGGATGTGTTGAGTGCATTATGTGAGCAATGATCTCTAAAACAGACCAGTCATCGAACTGCTGAAAGAATACAACCTATATGCTGAAAAAGTGAGATGCATATTTTACTGTTGCAAAACCTCTTTCTGATGGCGGGTAAAAAAGGTTTTCAGACTCTGGCCTTGAATCTACAATGTGAGGCGGAGTTGAGGTAAGAGGGCAGTGCATTCTTGTCACAGTGAATCAGTTTCAATGTGTTAATTTCTCCTTAAAGGAATAGTTCATCCATAAATGAAAGCTGTCTTCATTACTTCATTGCTGTAAAATAAGCCCCACCAGGTGATCAGGATTAGACCTTTTATCACCCGAAGGGGTTCATTTTGCTGTCTGTACATTATCCTGCTTATTACACATTTATTTTAATAATAATGATAGACATTTTATGACGTAGAATATTGCGTATAAGAGTGAAAACATTTTATTAGAACTGATGTTTAAGGGGATGATTTGCAGAGGATAAATTACTTACATTTTATTGATTAGCCTTATACGACTTGGAATATAGAGCGAACAAATCGTATGCATTACTTTATGTATATTCTGTTCACTTCACTGATTCAGCTGATTTTCAATCAGGGCGACAAGATGAAGTACTTATGGTGCTTTTTATTTTTATATTACACTGAACATACTGTATGTCCTGAGATAACAACAGGGAATAGCACATCAAAATAAGCCCATTTCATTAGTGCATTTCACTTACCCTGATCATCTCTCACAGAGGAGTCTCATGAAGCTTATTTCAAACATCTTTGCACTGTATGTAGTTCTGCTCTGAATCCACAGACAACATCTGTCCATCAGACATAGAACATGAGCAAGATGACAGGGTTACAGTCAATTAACTTTTTAAATATTATAGCTCTGTTCCAAACCCTAGTGAGGGACTGCGTTGCTGTCTGTAGACATACGGTAGGCAGCATCAGAACTGAAAAAGAGCCTCGTACTGTTCTCTGAATATTCTCTGATCCGAAATATTCTAAATAGGTCAAAACACTGTACTCACAGTTGATTTCAATAGAGTTTGATGTTAGAAAGTTGCTAAGTTTAACCAACAATACGTTTAATAAACAATAAATAGATACCACAAACAAGTGTTGGGTAAAAAAAAGTCAACTTTTGGTAATTTATATACAAACATTTTAACAATGATTATAGTTAAATGTAATAACTACCCACCTTTCCTGTTTAGCTGACATTGATTTTCAACCCTTTCACTTAGCATCACAATCAAATCAAGTGTACTGTTTTCACTTGTATATCTTGCTCATTAAGCATTGGCTGTTTATTATATAGTGGTTTGGAGAGTAGATGGATGCATTTCTTTTGATGAGTTTGTCACTTGTTCTGTGCCATGCCATGCCATGCTTCCTTATTTGGTGTCTTTTACAACAGTCTTCATGTTGGGAGAGCATATATGATGCTTTCAAATGGACAGTTCACTAGGTTTTGGAACAGAACCTCAACTTTAAATTCAGGTCTTGCTATTTTTGTTGCCCTCAAACATTAAGGATAAATTGCGTTTTGCCCAACCGCCTGTGCTGGAAGAGAACTGCAGACTGGCTATGCACCATTATGAAGCGTCACATTGGGTTTGTTATAGTTAGCTGCAGTAAAGCTGGAAATTATATCGTTCAACAAAACCCAGATGTTCTGAGTGCAAGACATCTTCATTACAGAGATATGAAAGGAGCCAATATGAACGACTGGCTTCTGTACACAATCTATATTACTTTATAATATTCATTTAAAGAATACAGCTGGACACTTACACAGTGAACAACACTGCCACCTGACCACATACACAGCACGCCACGCGCTACCCCACTGCACGCGCCTACTTACTAGAAAAGCAATCAGACTTCTATTATTATAAGCCACTTTTGGTACAATTGCAAAATTGATATCAAACTATTTTTTGTTCATATAAATAACTTTTTTTTTTCTGTTTTCTTATTCAGGAAAGAAAAACAACAAAGTAGCTGGAGTAAGACATCAGAGAGCATTTGCTAACAATTCAACAATAAAGCTTGTGTTGGGTTGCTTCGGGAAAATTAGAGACCAGCCCATCCACACAAAGCACAGAACAACAAAACTACAGCTCTACGACTCTGAACAAAGCTAGAATGATCAGTTTTACCAACACGGTTTACCAACTTCAAATATTTTCTAAAAACAAGTAAATGCCTCCTCTCTCTGCGATATCTTTAAGAAAAGGCTTTCTCATGTCTGCAAAAGATGAACATCACCTGCCAGACAGCTCAACAGGGCCTCTGCTCTCCCATGCATGAATACAGTAGTTTATTGCCTCTCCTGGTCATATTCCTCAGAATATAACTTGTAAACATCATTTCACTAATGGAATTGAACTTAACAGGAAAGAAAATTGATAGCTGAAAAGAATTTTCGCTTTGTGAATTACAAGATCCATATGTCTTAAGGGAACACTTCCATTTCTGATAGAATAGTGAATATATTTACTTTTCCCCATCTGTATATCAGTCAGTGGACAATATCAAGCACAGGTAACTCAAGTTGGAGCTAAAGGGAACAGTTAACCCAAAAAAGAGAAAATGAAAACTGTGACATTTCAAGTTAGTCATACGTGTTTGGATTGACACGAGGGTTCATGTCAATCCAAATTAATGATTAACTTTCTTCCATGGAACACAAAAAGGATATTTAGCAGAATGTACATGCTCTTTTCCATACAGTGAAAGCATACAGTGGCCATGTCTGTCCAGCCGCAAAAAGGATAAAAATATTTCTATAAGTATCACACTCCAATTCAAGTTATTCATTAACATTCGCTCCCTCTCTTCCATTAGCACATGCACGTATTTAAATTTTGTGTCATAAGATGCACTGCTTCAGTTTGATGTCCGTGATTAACAGTGTTGCAGAAAGTTACTTTTAAAATTAATGCATTGCAATATAGCATTACACCATAAAAACATAACTAATTGTGTAACTTTTTATGGGAATTAATGCATTACGTTATGTCACCTGGGCTGGGCTTGATCATTTGTTTTTTTAATAACAAAAAACCCAAAAGTTATATTTTTGGCAACTGTAAAGGCCCTTTCACTCAACATGGGGAAAGGAGAGGTGATAATGAATAAATGGGAAAACAAAGTAACTTGCGTTAATTATTTGTAAAAGGAACTCAGATATTTTGTTGTAAATTTAAAGGTGATGTGTTACTTTACTAGCTACTTTAAAAAGTAATCTACTCTCGTTGCTTGTAATGTGTTACACCAACTGATGACAAATGGCATCAATTCTTTTGTCTTTAATCACAGGTTTAAATGTTACAATGTGAATTTTTTGTGACTGTTTTTATGATACATTTATGGTGCATTTTAAAAACTTTTGTAGAGATTTACACTCGCCAGTCAGTGTATACTTTCTACTGTGTGGAAAAAAGCAGCACAAAAACAAATTTTGTGTTCCATGGACCAAGTCGTTCAGGTTTGGTACAACATGACGCGGTGACTACACTGAAAAAAATGTAACAAACTGAATTTACAAAAAAAATTTTAAGGTAAGTGGTTGCAATCAATTTATTTTAGCTACATTTAAATAAACAAATTTAGTTGACTAACTTTCAACATTATTTTTTTTTTTAAATGTAGCTAAAATAAATTGTTTGCAACCACTTACCTAAAAAAAATGTAGTATACATTTTTTCAGTGTACATGGCATATGTTTTTAATAATGTTTGTGTGAACCTCAAGTGTGTAATATTCTGATTAATGATACGTTGATAACAATTGTTGTTCATTAACAACAAGGGTTGTAAATGACATCAGAGAGACTTTAGTGTTGTCTGTTTAGATTTTTTATGGTCACAGAGCAGGTCATCTTGCTGAATTTTATCACGTCATATAACATAAGTAACCCTGTGCCTGATGAATACGCTGACCAATATACTTACAAATGTTCCCCGTTTGTGCATTATGACCGTGCTTCTGTTTTGGACTTGACAATGGTGATGACACTGGTGGCGGCCACTTTGCCTGGTATGAGGGGCCCTATGACAGATGTGATTGGGCCCCTGGCAGCGGCAACAGGGCTGCGGGCCACAGTTCTGGCAAAACTCTGGAGAGCCTCATATTTGGAGCGCAGCACATCAAGCTCCAGCTTCATGCTAGCATTTTCCGAGGCAAGCTTCTCCACCTCCTGCTGAAGCTCCGCCTTCTGTTTCTCCAGCTCCTCCTTTTGTGTGACACGTTTGACGCGGCAGCTGGCGGCATAGCCACGGTTTTTGAGCGTGCGCCGCCGCTGTTTCAACTGCAGGATCTCCTCCTTGGACAGACCACGCAAGTGCTGGTTCAGCTCCCGCACAGACATAGACACCAGCTCGTCATCCGTAAGACTTGTGCCATTTTCACCTGGCTCTCGCTTCACCTGCAGGGAACCACATGGGACGAAATCAAGAGAGAAGAGAAGGAAAGGAGGCCAGGGGAGACTGAGGGCAACTGGAATTATCTTTAATATCAAACAAGCTGCAGTGATGAGCCTTATCCAGCACATGTTCAGTAAAGTTCTCTCTCTAAGTGAGAAACGGAAGGGTAAGAATAATAGTAATCTTAAGGTTAAAAAGCATATCAGTATGTTCTCAATGCTGTAAAATATATAGCTCATTTTTAGTTCATGGTAGCAAATTTATTGTGTGGTTTAATACTCTTCTTCTGCTGATTTAAATTAAGAAGCATTTTTACTGGAAATATCACCTGAACATACCTTCAGTGCTTTGTTGCCCTTGTTTGTAGTAGTCATACCACGAGAGCCACTCTCCACTGCCCCACTCGACAGGTCTGTGAACACAAAAGAGAATTCACAAAGATCAGACAGATGTTTCTCAGTCCAGAGGGTAGACACACATGATTTGATCATTAAGATCTATTCCAAAATTCATTTAAATTCATGCAATACATTTCTAAGAGAGAATATATGTTAATTTCTCTATGTTGAAACCATAATAGAATTGCCTGGTTGAAAATTGTCACCAGAGATACAACAGATTGCAAAATAAAGTCATAGCAAAAACAAACAAGTGGTTTTTACATTTGTTACTATGCAGCACAGGGTGAACTGGGTGGTTACTCCAAGACTCTATTCTGCTTTCTACATATGACACAGGCTCCTCCCTCAATGCGAGTCTTCCTCAATGGGATTTTTTAAACCTACTTTATCATTCACCAAGTGAAAAAATGCAGAGCACTAATTCCGAGTATATGTCACCATACTTGGCCACATGTCACTTCACTATTCACTTCACTACAGCACACCGTCACTTTGGAATTATAAGGTTTTATCTGACATTTTTGTCGAAATTGAGTTATTCACATATTCCTATTCAGTGACAACTTATTTACATTATATGATTTTTTTTAAAGTTGTGTACATTTTGGGGCTTTTTATTTAGAAAACAACAAGGTTCTATCTATAAAGTATATGGAATGCAAAAACTTTGAAGCTCAATATCTCAAAACCAGGAACGCAGATAGAACTTAAAATTCCAAGGTGACAACATCTTTCCTCAACAAGCGGCAAAATTTAAGGTATCATTCATATCAAATCACTAATCTTAAGTATGATAAAAAAAATAATAGTGATGCCTCTCTTTCTTAGTGGTTTCTGAGGCAAGCAACACAAATAGTACATCTCACAGTTCAGGGCCACATTATTAACTGCAGTTCTGTTTTCTGCTGCACTCTTTTACGCAAAATGGATGCAAAGGATGCGGCATGAAAGGCAGCAAGTTTGAAAAACAATAGTGCTTTTATTTAAAAAAATAGGAGATAAACTTCAGAAGATGACTAGGCCAAAATAATAAATAAAAATATAGAGTTTATTTATTTATTTTAAAAAAAAAACGATATAACTAAGAAAAAAAGTTCACTTACCTGACTCACCATAAATGAAGATCAAGAAAGTTTAGAATAAACAAAATTGCCCTCAGACCACTTACTTTACAAGTGTTTAACAATATATTTGCAAAAGTATTTACAAAGACAAGACGTTTATAGAGGGCAATTCAAAATCAGAGTCAGAAAACATCAAATGCAACAAGCACAGACAACAAACACAATCCCAATCCAAACAAACAATCTGCATTTACAAACTCTCTATATAAACACTCTCGCTAAGCAAGTCTCTTTACACACAAACTCTGCTGCACTACACAATCAAACTCTCTTTGCTAACGTTTTGCCCAGAACACATCAACTACTTTTTTTTTTTTTTTAAGTACCACTGGATGTGGCTGCACCAATCAGGACACAGCAAAAAAGGCACAGAGATAGAACAAAACATAAAACAACAGGGTTTAACTATGAAAAGTGATTACAACAAACAACCAAAAGCATTTCAGAAGCACCAAACTGCTGCCTTCTGGGAAAATAACAACCAAAACCAACAATAAACAGAAAATTTAACCAAGTATCAATTGTGTACCCATGTGAATTACATTTTATTTATACCTCAATATCAGATCCTGGAAAGACAAACCCATTATAGTGCTGGTTTTATTCTAATCGAAACGCTTGGATAACACTTTAATAAAGTTAGGGTCATTCACAACATACTGTATGCAATTAAACTCATGTAACAAAAAAATAGGCCAGACAATTAGCAGTGCTGCATAAATGTGGAAAAAATAATATCTTACCTGGCCAAAGACCCTATTATCATGACAGACAACAGAGATGATGCCCTGAGAAGAGCATGTAGGGATAGAATTGAAGCAGATGTGTCACAGTGGGGATGTTGTCACATGGGCAGAGACAGCAGCAGCTATCAGACACGCCTCTCTCTCTCTCTCTTTCTACACACACACACACACACACACACACACACATACACACACACACACTTTTTGGGTCAGTGGCTTTCTACCACCCCAGTGGCTGCCAAACACACAGGCTCTGCCATACATGCTGAAATCACCTGCTTGTGTGTGTGTGGACTTAAAATATAAATGTTAAAATATAATATAATAAAAAATAATATTGTATTCCCCACCCCCCAAATTATGTATTTTTCTACAGAAGATAATGCTAAATATTCTGCTTCACCAAATATTTTAATGTTTTAAATGTACTGTAAGTTTTAATAAATAAAAAAAATCACAATTACATATAAAGAAGACAGTCAAAGTTAAGGTAAGGGTCAAAGGTTAGGACGGTGGTGACGATGGATGAAACAACATACTTTAGATGGTTAAAATGTATGGATCTGTCCACTGTAGTGGGCACCATACATCAGAAGATTAGAGATTGTTGCTACAGGTTTGCTTGAGACTAGAGACAGCTAGATATTTGCAAAACTACTTGCCAATAGTGACTGTTTATTGTTATCATTGTTATATTGTTTATCATTAACAGTGAAGAACTGCAAACCTCTAGCAGTTTGACAAATTTACCACAAATTTAACAAGTTTGCCACAAAAAATTTAAAATGTTTTAAAGGAGAAGTGAGGAGGTATCTCAACAGCTGTTTATGAGCAGTATTTATTCATAGCACGCATTTAAGCTAAGCTTTTAAAACTCACAGTGTACACTACAGTCTCCAGGCTGGAATCACTGTCTGGTCAGCAGAGATTTAGGTATGAAGATAAAGGTTAGGATGATTTTTCTGCAGTATTACTGTATATTAGAACTGTTTGTTGTTTACTTTGGGATCTGATCAGACCCAGAAATAGTGACATATGATGTCAAACAAGTGTATAGCTGACAAAAACCAGAGAAAAAAATCAGAGCTGATTATCTGGGGAGAATAGACATCAGATCCACAGGAAAACAGAAAACGCTGAGTGAAGCCACTTACAAGAAAGCAGGTGAAGTAATAGAGAGAGACAGAAAGAGGGAGGGAAATAAAGAACAAATAGAGCGAGGGAACATGGGGGGTGCTGGAGGACACAGCCTTGTGAAAAATGTGTCATCAGCACATTTGGGCTAGCTTGCAAAACGAAGGGTAAAAACCCCTGATCTCAGCAAGGACCCCAACCGAGGCACCAATTAGGCGGTTGTGTAGCTGAACTCAAATGACCACAGCGATCATTTCCAACCTTCAAACCCTGCCAGCATTCATAAATTTAGAGGGTGTTTAGAACCTGCAAGGTCTAGAGATACATGCAATGATAAATAAATTTCAGTACATATACATATGATAAATGCTGAGCCAACAAAAGCGCTGTGGCCTTGTGTCCCTGTGTCATGTGTTAATGATTGCCTTCCTTTACCGAGGCCTCAGGGACTAGTACACAGATGGATGCCATTGGGCTGGGCTATGCTAAAGAAACACCAACCTGCCCCATTTACCCGTCCTCTACAGAACAAAAGAAAAAAAAAGAAAACAAACTAATTTCACTGCTCCTGAAGTTTTTACACTGATCTTTGGAATATGTGATTGTGATTGGTCAATGGCAGTACTTTGTACTTGAATTAAAATGAGCTCAAAGAATTTTGTATTTTGTAAACTGGCATGTAATAAGCAAGTTACTTGGTAATTGTATTTGCAACTTCATAGCTTTAACAGTTTGAATTTGATTATTAATTTCATGATACATTTAAAAACTAAAACAAGATTTACAAGCACAGCAAAAAATAAAAATAAATAAATAAATAATAAATAATAATAATAATAATAATAATAATAATAATAATAAAGGTAACACTTTAGATTAGGGATCAATTCTCACTATTAACAAATTGCTTATTAGGATGCACATTACTAGCATACTGGCTGTTTATTAATACTTATAAAGCACATATTAATGCCTTATTCTGCATGACCATATTTTAGATCCCTTAAGCCGACCCCACACCTAAATTAACTGTAACAACTACTTTACTAACTATTATTAGGCAGCAAATTAGGAGTTTATTGAGGTAAAAGTAGTAGTTAATAGAGAGAATTAGTTCCCAAACTAAAGTGTGACCAAATTAAAATGAAAATGCACAAAAGCGCAACGTTTCATAGCTTCAGTTCTCCTTAACAAGATGAACCAGCCATAGCAGCACACAAAGCAATGCATCAACTTCTAGGCTCTAAATCACAGCCACACTTGGTTTCTGCATACTAAACACCAAGGCATTGAAAAGCAAAGTGTCTTATCTATGTTTGAAGGTGCAGAGTTGATTTTTCTAACAACATTGTGTGCATTCAGAAGAGTAAGATTTTGTTAGAATGTCTGATTTAAACTACAAAACATTCATCAAGAGGAGTCTTCTGATATGTATTTTATGCTGATGTTAACATAAAATACTCTTTGTCAGAAATCCTTGTTGCCTGACCATATTCAAACCATGGCTCCAACAAATGCTGTTTACATCTAAAGATATGAATCTTTAAAGGGTCATATGATGCTGCTAAAAAGAACATTATTTTGTGTATTTGCTGTAATGAAATGTGTTTATGCGGTTTAAGGTTCAAAAAACACATTATTTTCCACATACTGTACATTATTGTTTCTCCTCTATGCCCCGCCTTTCTGAAACGTGTCGATTTTTACAAAGCTCATCGGTCTGAAAAGCGAGGTGTGCTCTGATTGGCCAGCTATCCAGTGCGTTGTGATTGGCCGAATACCTCAAGCATGTGACGGAAATGTTACGCCCCTTACCATACTGTGACGCCCTGTCTGGCTGGAGAGTAACATAAAACCATGTCTGCATTTGTGATCGGAGAAATGATAAACCACTTTCTTAAAGGTGCTGTATGTAGGATTGACACCTAGTGGTTGAACTAGATATTGCAGTCCACATTCAAAATATTGGAGAGGGTTTTTTTCACCCGGCCCCTCCTCCTCAGACTT